CTCTTTGCCTATAACAATTTTTGTTTATAATACCACATATGATAATATTAAATCAGCACTAGCTATTATGATGTCTTGTTTTCTTCAAAATAGCTGTTCATTGCATCACAGGCCATAACATTGAATAGCCCAGAGACAGTCTCTTTAATAAATGGTGTTGGAAAAACTGGCTCTCCATATGCCAAAAACTAAAACTAGACCCATGCCTATCACCATGTACTAAACTAAGATCTAAATGGATCAAAGATCTGAGTATTAAAACAGAAACACTAAATTTATTGGAAGAAAATTGGGTAAAAATCTTGAAGACATAGGAGTAGGTAGATAATTCATGAACAGGAATCAAACTGCATGAGAAATACTTCCCAGAATCAATAACTGGGAACACATCTTATTAAAAAGTTTCTGCACATCAAAGAAATCTCCATCATAGTGAAAAGAAAACCCACAAACTGGGAAAAAGTCTTAGTGAACTGTCCCTCAGGCAAAGGACTTCTGTCTAAAACATATAAGGAATTAAAAAAATCAGACCAGCCCCTAGGCAATTCTTTTTAAGATAGCAAGAGGCATTAATGGTAACCATTGTTGATTACTTTGTATTTTGTTTATACATTATATATTATGTCCACCCTTTTGATTTGACTGACTCTGTCCTATTATGTCACATTTGGTTTTACTTTCTTCAAAAAAAAGTAATAAGAACAGTGGGAGTAATAAAACCCAAAATGTATAATTGTCATTGTACAAAACAGAGGAAAAGAAAGTGTTCTAAAGGACATAACTGCATGTATATTTAAGTGTATAAGATAGGCAACCATATTACTGAGTTTTATTGGATCATTGAACAGCAGTCTCACTGTTTGAATGTCCATTCTATATGCTTTAATTTTGTAACTTGAACAATTATTTTTAAGATGACAATATGTAATCTATTAACTAGTGATTTCCTACTGTTTATTTTTTCTGAAATTCTGTATAACTTGTACCCTTTTTCTGTTTTTTTTTCTTTTTTCTCCTTAAATAAAATTTTAAAAAAATCAGACGCCCAAAATTCAAAGATCCAATCCAAAAATGGGCATCTGAAACGAATACACAGCACTCAGATGAAGAAATACAAATGACAAATAAATACATGAAAAAATGTTCATCATCATTACTCATTAATGCAAATTAAAACCATATTGAGATTCCCTCTCACTACAGAAAGAATGACCAGGATCAGGAAAACTACCAACAACAAATGCTGGAGAGGCTGTGGGGGAAAAACGAGCTCTCCTGCACTGTTGGTGGGAGTATAGACTGGTGCAACCATTATGGAGGTCAGTCTGGAGATTTCTCAAACAGCTGGGTTTAGAAGTCCCATTTGATCCAGCTATTCTGCTTCTAGGCGTATTCCAGAAGAGCTAAAAACATCATACCACAGTGATATATGTGAACCCATGTTTATAGCAGCACAATTTGTAATAGCCAGATCTTGGAAACAACCTAAGTGTCCATCAACTGAGGAATGGATAAAAAAGTTATGGTATTTTTATACAATGGAGTACTACTCAGCTATAAATAAGGATCACATTGAGATATTTATAAATAAATGGACACAGCTTGAAACCATACTAATAAGTGAAATAAATCAAACTCACATGTATAAATACCATATAGTTTCCCGAGTGTAAGAAATGGTAAGAATACATAAAAGTATGTGGTAATCGTGATTCCCCATTACATTGCTTTGAAGCCTTGTAATGTTTTCATTCATTAGTTAGAATGGTTTTATCTTGGGTTGTTTGATTTTTTTGTCTGTGATAGTATGAACAGCTATTTTGAAGAAAACAAGACATTGTAATAGCCAGTGCTGATTTAATATCATCTTGTTTTGCAGTCCTACCATGCTTTTGTTCTTCTGTCTCCATCAGTTCTATCATGCTGTATCTTATTGGATTTTATTATATGTGATAGCATAAACAAAATTTTTCATGCACAAGGAGATAATATAGTTTTCGTTTTCTGTTAGTTGGTTCTGAATGCCCTGTAATACTTCCATCCTCTTGAATGATTTTATACTATTTTGTTATGCTTGATACTATAGTGTATGAAGGTATACTCAAATATTTCAAGGAAAGAGACATTATGGTAGCTACTACTATGTCGGGTTGTCTTGTGGTAAAATACTATGTTGCTTAAATTGTTCTGTCCTGATCTGTTTTTTATGTCCACTTTTATCTTAATATTTTTAAAATAAAAAATAAAACTTTTTCACTACAGACAGTCCTCTGTATCTATGGCTTCCATATCTATGGTTTAACCAGCTAGACTCAAACCATGCAGGTAAAAAATTGCACCGGTATCAAACAGTATTTTCCTCGTCATTAGTCTCTACTCAATGCAGTATAACAACTATTTACACAGCATTTATATTGTATTAGGTATCATAAATAAGTTAAAAATGATTACAAGTGTAGGAGAGAATGAACGTAGATTATAAGCAAATATTATACCACCTGATATAAGAGACTTGTGTATCTGTATTTCTGAATATCTGAGGGACTGGCTTTGTTCCAACAGAATTACTTTGTTCCTTTAAATATAGACTATAAACACACAAGTGTATTTTAGGACTAGCAATATTTACCATACTACATCATATTATATTACATAGTGTGATACTTTGATACTGCAATTACTGCAATCAAGGAAATGAACACATCCATCATTCCTAGAATCACATTTGTTTTTGTGGTGAAGATGCTTAACTAAGCTTTATTCCTTTAGCAAATTTCGAGTATGCTATACAGTATTATTAACTGTAGTTCTCATGCTGTGCATGAAACCTCAACCCCTTTCCTTTCCATTTTCTTCAATGATATAAATTACTATGGAAATTGCATGTCTCATAAAATAGAGTATCATAGCATTTTACAACTGTATTTGCCAATGTGAAAGAAAAGTAGCTGAGTCTTGTCTAAAGCTATCAGCCCTGTTTTTCTAGACAAAGCATAGGCTTTAATTTCTTGAGCACTGGCCTTCAGAATGGAGACTTGCATTACTTTATGGATTTTGATTTTCATTTGGCATTGTTTTAGGCAAGCAAGCCTTCCTGAAAATAGCACAGCAGCCTCTTGTTCTGACAGCTGGTGTCTGTGCGATTTCAGGCTCTTGATCGCTTGCACTGCATCTTCACACTAATGTTGACACCTTCCCCAGGTGTGCATTCAGCTTCGTCTACTGAGGGCTTTTATATACACGGCCAGTTTGTCTATTTCTTTTTGAGATTTGGTGATTTGTGGTTTTTAAGGACATTCTTCATTCTATCTGAGTTGTTAAGTTACCAGTGTAATGTTGCTTATTCTATTTTAATAAAAACCATCTTAATATCTTTGTTTACCAATTCTATCACACTGGTCATATAGGGACTGATTTCAACTGTTTTAATTCTCATAATGGGTCATTTTTTTTTTGCTTCTTTGCATAGCTGGTAATTTTTTAATCAGTAGGAGAGCATTTGGAAGCAAAGGTCATATATAAAAGTTATAATAAAGGTCTGAGAAATATTAGGGGTTTTAGTAAGAAACAAATGAATTGTGGTTTAGTTTCTAAGTAAGAAAAAATCCCAAGAAGAAAATATAGGATTTCTTCAAAGGGCTTAGGAGATAGCTCGATATCCACATGTACCTAGTAAATAAACCTAATTTCAGTGGGGTTCAAGTAAGGGAAAGGAGCTTAAATATATGTGTATTCCTTATATATATTCAAATATATTCTTATTCATATTTGACTATGTTGCTCCATATGTTCTTATAGAATTATCCATTTACATACAAATACATGTATGTGTACTCACATACACATATGTTAGCTGCTATATTTTATTATATGAAAGTAAATGGCACAAAAACAATGTGATCTTTTAAGTAGAGAAATAGGATATTTTTAATGGATGGGGAATGTCGAGTATCTTTGCTTGTCCTTAGACTCTAAGTCTTGGCATTGGAAATTATCCAAGCTGAACAGTTAAAAACTCTGATAAGTTACCTATAAGTTAGTACCTAAAAGAAGATATACTATAGTCTCTTTTAAAAGATTTTAGAATAGGAATGGAATTAAGTTCTGTCTGATAATTTAAGAAAATAGATAAACTGACCTCACCCTGCATACATATACAGTAATATGTAGAGAGTAAGAAATATATAAACAACACATTCCTTTTGTGATTAGTATAAGACAGTTTCCTTAGAAATATTTGGTTAAGATTTAATGCAAAGTTTCCAAAATGTCACAGACTTATTTAGGTAATTTGTGTAACTTCACCATGATGTGAAGTGCTGTATAACAAATATCTCTAAATCAATGGCTTAAAACTATGACCTTAATTATCTCAGTCCCTGGAAGTCAAGGTTCTAGATATAGCGTGGCTGAATTCTCCACTTTCAAATTCCTCATCCTATGGACATAACCAGAGAAAATATTTTTGAGATTTTTTCCAGGTGAAAGATCACGATAATAAACCCTCTAAATATGCATGTAACATTTAATTCATTAAATTGGCTTGCATTTTACCTTTCATTTCTGCTTTTATTGTGGTATTCAATGAACCAAAGCTACTATTATCAGTCGGAAGAGAACGCTCAGTATTCCCTCGGGCCAGCAAGAGGAAGCAGAACCTTAGACTAAATGCTAGTGTACCGAGCGTAATTCAGTGCAAGTGTCTTGAATATATTGTTGAGAATTTTCAAAAAGACCGTCCTTGAAATACAGGATTTACACGAGCTACCGACATCCCCAATACTATAAGAAGTGAATATCATTTCTAATAATTGCTTCAGAGATAAAGCTGGTCTTAATGACACAAGAAATGCTCTGGAGGATTCTTATTTGATGAGGTAGCAGCAGCAGTGTTTAAAGTCCTACTCGATGTGTATGTTTGATATTGTTCTATCTGCCATATAGCTAAAATAAATCAATTTCTCTCCCTCTTTCTCTTTCTGTTCACATTTTCTAAACAGACTAAGATGCTTAGTGAAGCAGCTGGAAAAGGGCGATGTCAATATCGTAGACTTAAAGAAGAATATTGAATATGCAGCATCCGTGCTGGAAGCCGTTTATATCGATGAAACGAGGTAAGTCTTATCTCCTCTCTCTCTCCTGTCTTCCTCGCCCTTCTTCCTTTTATTCTTCTTTCTTAACCTGCTTTTATCTCAAACAGAAATTTAGCATAGCTTAGTATAATACCAAAATCAAAGTCTCATTAAAATTTGAAAGGTTCTTTTGCAGGTACCTAAGTAACAGGACTCTGATTCTTTTTTCTAATATACATTTTAAATCCAAATTCTTGAATACACAATAAAAGTTTTAAAATGGGAAGCAATTCAAGTATCCTCTTCGTGCACCTGCTCTGTCTTTAGGCCTGGACGGTAGGCTTGTACTGACTTTTACTCATGAAAGAATTTCCCCTGTTATCTGGAACTTTCTACTAAGAAAGAGGGTGTCAGGTGACATGCATTCTCCTGACAGGTGTCTATCGCAGCCTCTGAAGAGGGTTGCTGAGGACAGTCCTAAGAGGGTCATCATTCAAATTTAGCCTCTGCTCACCAGTGTAGAGAGTGGCTACCACGAGAGAAAGATGTCAAGAAGGTTGCTGGCTGATTGTCGGGGCTCAGCTTCCTTCCATGTGACATTTGGGAAACCTAAGAGGTCAGGCCAAGTGTCTCTTGGTATTCAGAGAATACTGAGATTGGTTTTATGAGTTTCATCTCAGAAAAGACAAAGTTGACAGGATGATAAGAGCTTCCTGTGAGTCCACAGCCAAGAGGGAACCTGCAGAAGAAGACATGTGTACTTCTTAAGTTTGTGTTGGAAAAACCCTCGAATGTTTTGGAGCTATCACGAAGCTGAAACAGAGGACTCATGAAGGACCAACGAGCACTGATATCAGTTAGTGAAAACAAAAAGTGGGGTATTAGGGTGATTATTGGTATGAGAACCAGGGTAGGGATTATAAAACATAAGCTAAAATCTAAGTGGGCGTCTTTGACCATGGTGTCTCCCCCACTGGGTAAGCATGAGAGGGTGTGCATAGCCAGCTCCCTGACCACTGTCCAGCCAGACCCTTTGGCCTATAAATCCCTGGCCGTCCCACCGAGTTTCTGAACAGCCAGCGGCAGCTGAGCCAGCAGGAAACAAGGACAGGGAATGCCCCACCGCCAGCCCCTTCTCCTCTGCAGGTGTCTGTGCCTGGCTCAGTCCTGGGCTTGGGAGAGATGAAAAATATTGGACTAGATGTGAAATTGCGGCTTCTGTTCATCTTTGTGCATTGGACTGCACCCACAAACACACATCGTGTTTGGTATGTAGTAAAGTCACATGATTTAAAAGTCAAAATAGCGAAGAAGTGCATCATGAAAGCCACTCTCCTGGGTCTGAGTTTCAGTCTACTCCATTTGCTGAAGAAATCTCTTCTGTGTCTTCCCAGGGAGTTATTTTGTGTTTTTCTCTCCTTTCATGGGAAGTGGCACAGAACATACATGGTCTTTCATTCTACTTTTTCACCAGTGGAACTTGGAAACCTTATTTTATGTTTTGAACCTTTTTATATCCAACAATGAGGATTTTTCACTAGTAATGAGCAGAAAAGCTCCAGTGAGAGCCGCTATGTCCAGGTGGTTCTTTCCTGGTCCACAGAACAGAATCGCTCTGCTAAAGCATGTTTTGTAGTTATAAATCTAGGAGGAAAATCATTTGTAGATTATAATTTTTCCAGAATTGTTTTTATGATGTATTTCGCTAAATATACATGAATGTGTACGATCATTCTAGAAATATGGAGATCAAGTATGAATTTTAAAAAACCTAATGTACCTATAATTTTTTTGCTCCTTTACTTTCTTGTGTGTGCTCTATTATTTACAAGTTTATTGAGTTGAACATGTTTAAGATTTCTTCAGTCTGCACCTAGCAGACATTTTATCTTATATTTATTAACGAATCTTAGGAACTTTTATCTTTAAGCATTGTTTGGATATACATCTTTTATTATTTTGTAATGACGTAATGCCAACTGTTATCTGGTTTGTCTATGTGTCTCATCTCTCATTTGATGGATTATTCTGTTATATTCACTCATTTCTATGAGTATTTCCTTTTCCTGAAAAGAATGACTCAAGAGATATTTTGATAACTTAGTTCCCAATAATCCCTAACTTGTTTAAGCATATGTTACATTTAAAACACAGTTCTTTGTCACTTGAAAATTTGTGGGGAAAAGATTATATTCTATATTTAACTATTTTGTCATATTCATTTAAACTTAGACTGTTACTTTTATTGTTTTTGCTTTGTTTTGTTTTGTTTTTTGCTCCTTACAACAAAACAGCCCAGTTCCCAGAAATAGCTCACTCCCAGGTTTTACTTAAACGATGCAAAAATGTTTCACTTTTTTATTTTAAAACCTCTATGACATTAGCATTTTTAAATTGGATTAAGAATAATACCCCACATTTATACCATCTTCAAAAGCTGTTAGTTTTATTATCTTACATTAGTCTCACCACAATCCTATACAATTGTCAGAATAATTGTTACAGTCTGCATTTCACAATTGAGAGAACTAAAATTCATTTAAATATCCAAACAACTCTGGGAGATAGAAAACTCTATTTTTACCATTTTGTATATGAAGAAACGAATCACAAAGGCTTATGTAAATCACTGTGGGGTAAACTAAATAGTGGAATTAGGCTCTGGCAACGTGATTCCAGAGTTTAGGTCACTCTTAGCCCTTCTGTGACATTTCATTCAAAGATGATGTCAGAGACTTATTGGAAGTTCTATGGATATCCATGTGTAATCAGGGTCTTTAGATCAGGCAGCTGGCAGTTCGGCTTGGCTCATTTCTTGCTAATTCTGCCTTCAACAGTGACATGTGGGTAACTGGACACTGACCATCACAGGCTATTTACACCATAGAAAATGTCAAGTACTGCAAATCAGGATTTGTTTTCCCTAGAGTCTGTTGTTAACCATTTATCATAATGCCACTGGAGAAACCCAAGATTTCCTCTTAAGAATTTTCCAGGAGCTATGATGTTACAGTCAAAATAACATCCTAAGAAATTCTGGGGCCACGGGTTTAGCTCAATGGTGTAAGTGCCTGCTTGGCAAACACGAGGTCATGAGTTCAATCCCTGGTACCAAAAAAAAAAAAAAAAAAAGAAAGAAATTCTAAAACAACAATACTTAATTTGCTTTGATTTTCTAGATGTATATGAATATACACTTAGAAAACAATGAAAGATGCTGGAAAATTGACAGGATTGAAAAAAAAAAAAACAGCCAATATGTAGTAACACAGGATAAAACGGGATGTGCTGATTGGTTGAATACACATGTATATACACACGCGCACACACACACACACTCGTTCCTAAGCATTAGTTGCTTCAGGATTTCAGCTAAATTTTTTTTAAAATCTCTCTTTAAAGATTATTTTGGTGAGAGAGCAGTTTCTGATTGAAACAATTCTGACCTTTGTGGGTATTATAAAGAATTCCCTAGTGAATATGACCATTTGTTGGTTTTTGTAAAAAGTTTTTTATGCAAATGCCAATATTTTATGAGTCTTGCTTTCAGATGTATCCCTCGAGAGTATTATTTTTCAAAGTTGCACAGTTGTAATCCAGAAACATGTGGTCTTAAAACAAAGCAAAACAAAAGTTCGTCCTTATTTGGGTTGGGACATTGCCAAGCAAAGTAGCATCCTCGGACTCATGAATAGCAGGGCAGGCAGCCAGCGAGGAGGTGCACTTTCAGAGGACTATTGTGCTAACATCTCATAAAAATACAGCATGATTTATTTTGATTAATGTGAGCCAATCTGTCATATGATTACCATAGACAGAGTACAGATACTGGGCTCAGGAAGGGAAGGTTGTTCAGTATCTAGTTCACTTATGCAATAAACTCTTTAAGAAATTACTTAGCATCTGTAAGACTTATATTTATCTATATAAAGGGACCGTGTTAATTTTGTAAAGGGTAGTGTGAAAATTACATGGAGTGTAACATCTAATACAAAGTGAGTACACTTTCTACTTTGGAAATGCATAACACATCAAGATTTATAATTTATCTACTGATGAAGATACCTAATAATTTCTTAAGAGCAGTTTCGAATCTTGAGAAAACTAAGTTAGCTAGGCTTTAGTTGCCAGGGGATGAACACAAAGCATAAAACAATGGAAAGGAACTTTAATAGATAACTATTTATCCTTATAAACACATATTCAGTGGAACAGCATGCCATATTAAGTTTAAAGATCCCTAACTGAGGAATCGATTATCTTCAATGATAATGTGTCAGTGTCAAGAAGTTAGTCTGGTAGCATGATGATCAAGGCATCTTATGTGCTAAGAACCTTGAAAAAATTGAGCAGAAAGCTTTTATCAAGGAGCTTTTATTCATTTATCAAGTATTTATTAAGCTCCTGAAGTCTCTATCATGCACTCTTGTGAATAGATTCAGGCGCATAACTGTGCAGATTGCTGGTAGACAGTGGGCCAAGAATAATAAAGAAACATCTAGGCATCAAGGTTAACAGCCTAAACAGAGAGGCTGAGAGACAGACAATCAACCATATTGGTAAATTCTAACAGAAAACACAAAGATGCAACAGTAAGTTGTAACCAGAAGGAGTAACATGGAGTAAACATTTATAATGAGGATCCTGAACCAGATATGACTTTGCACTTATTTCTTACTGTGAATGAGTTTGTTCTCTGGCATAGCTCTCCCTGCTCATGTTAAGCTTCTAATAAGAGGATTAAGGAGAAAAATATCTGGAACATGCAAGATAGATGGGCATTGAAGTAATAAATACAAAGGCATTAAATACATGAATTTAGTATTTAAAACCTAAGAACCATTGCTTCTTGGCCTTTTGGCTAAGATCAAGTGTAATAATCCAAGAGTCTTAAATTTTGTTGTTCTGGTCTTTTAATGTGTTTACTGTGATGCTGATCTTCCTTTGCGATTTGGAGAGTTTCCCATCCTAAAAATTTTGCAAATGTCCAGTGAATGTTGACTTATTTCCTAATCTGTCCTGTCATCTTAAAGTCATCTCTG